ACAAAGTGTCACTGCTTTTTTATAAAAATACTAACTGAAAAAACTAATGATATATATAGGTATGCAAGGTCATCTAAACTAAATTTGGTCAATCATATATCATTCATGTTTGGTTGAAAAGATCAGACTTTTTTATGCAATTGTTTCTGAGATATTGCCATTTTTGTGAAAGCTTGGAATTCAATCATGAATTCGCCAATATTGCTTGCCACTTTAGGGGGTGGTAACATTGTAACAGCTTGCCAGTTAATGAGTTAAAGCACAAGATTATAAAACACGCCAGAATACAATTTCTACCTTCCACGCCCACATACGAATTGGGGAAAACAGCAATTCACTTATCACTCGGTATCGGAATGGAACTCTTTACCTATTGAACTGAAACAATCTACTAATCTTAATCTCTTTAAATCCAAACTAAAACAATTTATCTAATTAAGTTGAGTTTCTCCTAACTATGAAGTATAATTATATATAATTCACTTGTAAATATTTTATAGTTTTTAAATAAGCATAGACGTATAGTTTACGAATACCATGTGTAATATAGATATATATTACAGGACCTCCCTGAAAAACACTCCGGTGAGTGGAGCTTCCTGAATAAATATTATTATTATTATTATTATAGTGTCATTGGAGCATGTTCTGCAGAGCTGAAAGAGAAAATAATGAGGCAAATACCTTATGTTTCTTTGAGGAACTCTAAACAGTTGGCTAGTAAACTTAAACTTGTTGTAGGACAACGAACTGAAATGGCAGTTAAAGTGCCTATGAAATGAAATTTTTTATTCGATATTCCTATAGTGTTTAATGTACAAAAGACGATTTTAAAAACGCAAGCTCTAAAAATCAATTGAACAAAAGTTATCGAGGGTTAAACATGCCGATTTTGGCTTCAAAAAGTGGTTCTGTCTGTGCGCGGCCAAAAGGCGTCAAATTACTTCCTGTGACGTAAAGAACAGGGCACGCTCAATAACATAAGCTGTAATAAGCTCTGTCTTGTATATAAATGATCATGCAAACCTATAAAAGATAAACGAAATCTCGACGTTCCGAGCTCTCCCTTACCCTACTAACACTATGTGACGAAGGAAGGGCCTTCGCTCGAAACGTTGAGAAGAGATTTCGTTTAACTGTCATAATTTATAGGCCTGCGTGATCGTTAATACAAGATAGAGATTATACTACGCATCCACACCGCAGCCGACACTGAATATAAATCCAAGCAAAGATTTCATTTACATATTAGCCGCGCAAATATAGAGGAAACGTCTCATTCATGTGAAATGAGGGGGGAAAATTCTAAAAGTGTTTTGTGTTCCTGGAGGGCCAAATAAGAAGCCATGCACAAATAGTGGCGACACACCAGCATTAGGTATTAGCATGCATTGTTTCCGAAAGATTTCTGTCTGTTGCTTGGCTATAATGAATGACAGCTCCACCTACGAAGGCAATGGGTTCGTTTTGTTCGAAGACATCGATCTGACTTCGACCCTGAAACGTCTTCTTCAAGAATATGGTGTGCTCGGCACATTTTGACGAGAGCTATTTTGACGAGAGCTATTTTAACGAGAGCTCTAGAACAATTTACAAAGTCTAAGATAGATAGCAGTAACACTAAGCGCTTCTTGACTCGAGGCTCATTTCCAACGATTGACGTTGTTGAAACGTAGAAGATGTCATTGCCATAAGCAATTGTACGAGAAGTCAAGAGACCGCCAACTTATGGTAAATAGGTAAATAATATTTTGCATTTGCATAAAAGACCTTGTGCCTTATGGGTTAATACGTAGGCATGCTCATAAGGTCAATTGAAAGGGCATAGTTTTTACATACTCCACTAGGTGACTGGGGTATATTATTTTATCTTTCTGCGCAACCAATATTTCATTGATATCATATGCAGGTGTTCTTTGTTTTAAACGTTGGTGGGGGGATAGGTATTAGAGGGAGATGGGCAATGGGGTTTTTGGTACAATATGGTTAACAAATTGTCTATGTTTCATATAGAGTATGTCAACTGCATAGGAGAAATTATGTTTACTGCATGTTGATAGCACAACATTGGAAGAGATTGGCAAGCAATATCAGTCTTTGCAACCGAAATCCTTGACCAGTCAGTTTACAGAACGTTTAGCGAAGACAGAAGCGGTTGAGAAATATTTAAAATTACTTATATTTAACATTATTCACAGGGTTAAAAGTTAGTATTAAAAGGGGAAATAGCAGACTATGTAATGTACCAAAATGCAAGACCAGCCAAACCGTTGAACTTCACCATATAAATCTCAGTGTATAAAACAGTTTGAGTTTCACTCCTGTATTATAGTACTTTGACATCATTATTGTGTTTGAGTAGAGCAATGCAGTAACTTTAAGATGTTATAATCCATCCTTCAGGCTAGCCTGTATATGTTTTGAAGGCATATCGGAAACGTATCATTATAGTTGTTCGATATAAATAAACATGGCTCTATTACTGTATTATTAAACTATTAAAAACTATCCACATTTGGAAAGTGTTTTTTGTCGAAATATAAAATGTAAAAATTGCTGTAATTCTATAACTTTGACAGCATGAAATGACCACAATACTCTTCTGTAAGGAGTTCCTGAATGTCATTTATAGCTTTGCCCTTTCGGTCTCCCAACAAAGGGCCGACTTGAGCCAGCACAGCCTCGTTCGTCGTGGCCTTGTAGTCTTGCAATGTCAAACATGAAATTTTCCCCGGCGATGCTCCCGTCGAATGTTAGTTTCCCAAGCGCTACAACAATTTCATGGCAACATCGGTATTGATGTGCATCAACCAAGTTTCGATCCGACCACTTGCCACATTTACACCTATATCAAATTGAAGCAGTGAGTTGAATCGAGTGTTTTTGTCAAATTTAATTATTTAAAACTGAAGTTCAAATGTATCAAAGGCTACCTACCTAGAATCAACTTTATTCTTTCGGTCATTATCTAGCCTCCTAGAATGGCCGGCGTCAATCCATCCAGATCGGCTTCCTTGGTCGTTTCTTCGCTTATATTTATTTACTAATTTATTATTTATTTACTAATTCTTCGCTTATATCGTCCATAATATCGGTTCCCTGAGGATTTAATGGTTCACCTTCACACGGCATATAATGAGCGCCAAAAACATACTCACTTGAATCACTTGAATCAAAAATAGCAACAGAAATATCACTACAGTCGATGACATTGTGCTATATTGTTTGTATTGTGTTGCCTTGTGTCAATTTCTCGTGCCCTGCTAATTACGTCACGCGTATTCGATTCGTTCCCAGTCTCCGGACGAAAGTAAACCATCTGGTCTTGTTTGGGTCCAATTTGACTGTGAAGATGTAGGGAAAATAACCCGACAGGAAAACAGAAATCTTTATCATACAGGTATTGAAAGTACATGGACAACAATAAAACCTGTTACAACACAATTTGCAGTGGGCAAAACTAAATCAGCTCAAGTTGTCAGGAAACAATTTCCATTATGGCCAGCATCAGCCAAAACTGTACACAGATCACAAGGTGATACTCAGGCTCAAATTGTTGTAAACTTAAATACTAACAGGACTATATACTAACAGGACTCATATACATTATGTTGCTTTAAGTCGAGTTACGACAATTGAAGAGTTATATATCACTAATCTATGTGAAAATAAAATATCTATTGATCAAAGAGTTGTCAAAGAAATGGAAATGTTACAAACTGAACGTAGCTTAAAACTTTGTTTTACACCATTGTATATGTTGGATCATTCCGATTTAAAAGTCTGTTACCTCAATGCACGATCTCTGCATAAACACATTGAAGATGTTCGGAAAGACATCAATTACTCCTCTACTGACATTGTAATATTTACTGAGACAAGGTTTAGTCCATTGGACCCTGATGAAATGTACAATATAAATGGTTACAGACTATTTAGAAATTATAGTTCTCAATTTTCTGGTCCTGGACGACCATATGGTGGAACAGCTGTATATAGCCGAATTCCTTTAAAAGAAGTGCATTTGATCATATATAAATGCTAATTTGCGCTATATAAATTGTAATTATTATTATTATTAATTATTAAGGATATCCCCATACTCACAACATAAGTGGAATTGAGTTTACAATTATCAAAACCGAAAGTCACCCAAACCTGACCATAATTGGGTTGTATCGTTCTCCCAGTATTGCTTTATCACGCCTACTTTCTGCTCTTCGAACTATTCTTGATGAAGATTCCTCTTCACAAAACATATTCATTGGAGACTTTAATATTAACTGGATGGCGGAAACTGACCGGCAATCGCTTTACAACCTAATGCTTAGGGAAAATGACTACCGACAATTAATATCATCTTTTACAACAGATAACAGAACATTAATTGATCATTTACATGCAAATTTGATTGAGGAAGAAATTAATGCTGGCATTCTTGAAACCTACTTTAGTGATCATAAAGCTATATGGGCTTCAGTCAAACGGTAATTCCAACTACAACCACACATCAATTGTAAAATCGACATCATTGTATTTCCCTAAGTTCAAAACTCATTTGGCTTGCAACATGTACGCACCGCATACCTATTTTTAGGTATTAGATTTAGTAACTTTAATTAATATATTAATTAATAAATGTAGTGTATTTAATAGTGTACACGATTGAGATAAAAGCTTGATGCTTTTATCTCAATCGTGTTTAAATAAATTTATTATGATTCTGTCACTAAATATCATTTAATTCTTTCTTGTTTACTAGGCCATGGACAAATCTCAAGAGAAAGATGCAGAATAAATAAAAGGCTTAAGAATTCAGATTAATTGCATGTTTTGTTTTAATTAATATTCATAGTTTAATTTATTGTACTCACAACTAAGTAACAAATTAAAAGATTGAAAATAAACGGTGAGATTGTCCAATCGGTCATCAATGAGTGGCATGTATATCAATAGTTATGGCAACCACTGAGTATTTTGATAAAATACAAAAGAACAGTCCGAATAACATTTTGTAGCTTTATTGAATCTAGGTTTCGACTATATTTTAGTCATCATCAGGACAGATTGATGATGATGACTAAAATATAGTCGAAACCTAGATTCAACAAAGCTACAAAATGTTATTCGGAGTTACTGTTCTTTTGTAATGTATATCAATATTTTGCCATTTTTCTGTTACGTAGAGAAGACGTTGTTAAGTTGTTAAACGTTAGAATAGGCGTTATAACAATATTTTTCTAATGTCACATCACAACATTGTGACAACATTATGTCCGAACGTTGTTCCAACGTTTCTCTACCTTGACCACAACGTTGTGACAACGATTTCTGCTGTCTACAAATTTACGTTTTCACAATGTAAATCCAGCGTTGTTGCAATGTTTTTAAAATGTTAATGTGTTAGCTGGGAATTCTCAACTCAGACTATGCACTTGGTGGGATTCAGGCTGTGGCTTTTGGAGATTTCTTGCAACTTCCTTCAGAATGCATTATGGAACATTATTTTTCCTCACCAAATTGTTTTGGAGCATAATTTTAGAGCTAAGGACAACCAGAAACTAGCCGATCTTGTGAATGATATATCCAAGGGACATTACACTCAGCAAAGTCTTAGGCAGACCACTGTGCATTGAGGATTCGGGTGTTTCATATATACCCAAGGTTTATCCTCTCAATGATGATGTGAGCTATGCTAATATCTGTGCTTTTGCCTGGAAAAAAAATTATATTCCATGTGTATGACATTGGAGATAAAAAACTTCTCAACAAAGAATTAATTGCTAGTGAAAAGTTGGCATTGAAAATAGGAGCACCTGTAATGTTTATTTATAATATCAATGATAATATTGAGAATGGCGTTCAAGGAGCAGTCGTATCATTCCTTAATGAACTACCAGTTGTAAATACAGGATCCAAAACCCTTGTTGTAGACAGAGTTACATGGTCGGTTTAGGACAGAAAGCATGCTTATAAAGTGATTGGCACTAGAACACAGATTCCTCTTATATTAGGTTGGGCAATGACTGTTCATAAATCACAAGGGAAAACTTTAGATGCTGTAGAAGTACATTGTGGTAAAGAGTTTGCCCCATGCCAGCTCTTAAGGGTTAGAAAGTTATCACAGTTACGACTTGTTGGCTTTGATAGCAAAACGTTGATACCAATTCCAAATGAAGTTTTGACTTTTTTGGATAATATTCAAAATAGCCCAGCAGATCAGGAACACAAATGCTGTCATATTAAGCCACAATTATTGAATGATAACAATAATTCAGATGTAGACAACTTTTCTGAAGAGGAATTTGCTGAAGAAAAGCTCAGAGAACTTGATGATATTGCAAAGTCTTACTTTGCTTCAATTGTGCAGCCTGACACTGTTGACCTCTCTGAGTTGTTTGAGAAACTGTCTTCATCTACAAATTTTGAAAACATTCCCAATGACTTCAATTTTGTGGAATTCATGTCCACACTTAAGAAGGCTGACGAGTGAACAGTTCAGAACGATAGCTTTCAATCAAATGTGAATAAAGTTTTCAATCACATTCTGAAAGAAAGTGTTCTTCAGCAGACCAAATTGTTTATCCGTATTCAATGGAGTAAGATATTATTATTCTACTACGTACTCACATTGCAGAGAATGTCAACAAGATTGTTAAAAGAAAGGATTTCACTGGACACTTACACAGCCTCATCACTTCTAAGGATCTGGAAAAGGAATTTTCAAAATTGGTTAGCCTCCCAGTTTCTTTACTTGCTGAGCACCACCACTTTCATGCAATGACCGAACTAATTTTCGCATTGAATAGACGGGTTTTGAGGTCATTGTCGGAGAACCTTTCCCATCTGCAGGTATTGAATCAAGTGAATCAATAAATGTTTAGGAAATGTCAGATGATAGTAAAGGGAAAGGTTATGTTAGGGTTGGGGTTAGGGTTAAGAGGTGGTCTTCCTGATTTAGGAAGTTACTCCGAAGACTAGAAACGTACATGTCCATAGATATACCTGAAGAACAGTTTTACTTTTCTCGGTATTGCACAACTTTCCTTTTCAGGCCGCTTATTTCAGCGGCCTGTTTGTCGCATCTTTCACGGAATGATTTTTCGTCTTGCCGTACCCTTTCCACTTTCCTTAGTAACTCTGCTTCGGAATAAACCTTTACAGTCCTGCTATTGGTGTTTCGTGTGATAAACTGATTCACGCTTTTATTGACAACCCACTGTTGTGTGCTGTTTCTAATATACTTCATTACAAAGAGCGCACCCGAGGGTGGCACACTGGCAATAGTAAGAGTCAGCTATTGCTAAGTTTTGTTGAACCACACAGAGAAGTGGTTCCTTGTACAATCGCTGGTTGGTTAGTGCAAGTTATGAGCAATGCAGGGGTAGATACATCTGATTTCAAGGCCCACTCCACTAGAGGTGCCTCAACATCAAAAGCCAAGGCCAAAGGCCTGTCATGCCAAGAAATTATAGCAATGCTAAGATGGAAAAAGGTCTCCACTTTTAAAGACTAAAAAACTGTGCTCCAAGAAGGTTAGGAAGCTTTAAACATATAATAGTGTATCTTATGGAGGTTTGTGAAGTGAAATTGGACATTTCATCAGTACGCGAAGCGCACGCATTGAAATTATAATTTCACAAGCAAACCGAAATAAGATATAATAGTGTCCCACCCTGCCCTGGTATCTTCATCATAGAGGCAATTATCTTATTTCGGTTTGCTGTCTTTGTTTTAGGGGCAAAAGGATATTAAGAGATGGATCATGAACACTGCAAGGCTTTTACTCGCTACCAGTTTTGGTTGCATCATGGTTTATGTTTCCTTATATGGAAGAACTTAGTAAATTGTTTAATTTCTCTTCAAATAATCTTATTGTTTTCAATAAGTTTAGTTAATTAAAGAACGTTACCTACAATCCTGGACAAAGCCATCTGGACACTCTATTAAAACATTGCTTTGTGGCTTTTTTACCAGTTAGACCGGAATAATTTACTCGTTTGCCCCCCTCCACCCCCCAAAACAATGTTGGACGTTTTATCCGTATTCTACGAATGCAATCAACATTGAATGGTGGGGGGAAAGGGGGAGGTTTTCTAAATTTACGATAATATTACGACATTTTGTCGCAGATGTTTTGTCCAGGATTGTCTGTATATATTTCAAATTCAATAACCAAGGCATTGCGCATTAAAAATTGAGTTCTATGCAGGACTTTCTCTTTCTGTAGTAAATATGACTCACTAGAATGTATTAGGCTTCAAGAAGCAAATACCATATGGTCGACAAGGTAATATAACACCCTCATGCATTGCTATGCTTTGATAGCTTGTATAGAATGTGATTAAGAATCGTATGCGACGACTTTCCCGCATTTAATATACGTCGGAGAGCAAGTTAATGTACTTAGTGTATATACCAACTATTTTACAGTAAGAATATTATAAAATACGTTAATCCATATTTATTTGTGTTCTTAGACAGACAAACGCTTAGCTGTTGACTGGCAATATATTGCGTGACCGCCGCGCTAAATGACTAATCCGATTTTGTTATTGTCGTATAATTAATAGCGCATGCGCATTGACGGTGTACCAATGGTACAGCGTGAACATATAAGAATAATATATATATATATAACCTTTTGTAGGGTTAAAATGGTACACCGTGGAATATTTTAAAATTATTGCGCTAAATATTGCCTGAAGTAGGTTGGAATACTAAGCAACACACGTTCTTTCAAGTCCATTTCATTGGTTTGTATTACACCTATAACTGGGGATATTATCACAGTCTTAGTGCATTGGTGGTGGTACACCGTTATGTATGACACTGAGTAAAATTACACATTGATTTACCACACCTGGAAAACGTGTGTCAAAATGCATAATTCACATTTATATAGTTGTCACTTAATATTTTAAATATATGCAGTAAATACCAGAAACGTATCTATATGTTGAATTTATTGTCCCTTAGTTCTACTGGATATCACAGACATTTATGTATAGACTGAATGTATAACCTATCAATATATAAGTCGCACAAACCCTTATGGAAATATATTTTTTGGGTCGTACATTGTATTTCATGCACTGATCGCTTGCCATGTCTGTCTAGGCACCTTCTCACATATGGTCGATTAGGCCGGTCTATTGTGTCTTGCAGGTCTTACTGTAAATATACAGATAACAAATATGACTCATATATATTTCTTAATTTCTGAATTATTGCAATGATATCTACTAGAACGCGATAGTTTTACTTTCTCAATTATTTCCGAAACATTTTGTTGCTTTTAATTGCTAAAAAATAATATATCGTATGCGATTTTCTCGGCAAAAGTTTCTACCACACATTATTACCCTTTCAAAACACTAAGATATTCATGACGTATTTAATTAATGAAATAAGGTACTTGATGTAATTATGAACATAAGTAGGCCATACGGAATGCACATAAACAAAATACATGGCAAGGACATGTATAAAAAGCGAAATGTAAAAGAATATAATTTCGACTCATTTCGGACAATCCTGGACAAAACCAGCTGCAACACTCTATTAAAACATTGCTTTGTGGCTTTTTTTACCAGTTAGACCGGAATAATTTACTTGTTTGCCCCCCTCCACCCCCCAAAACAATGTTGGACGTTTTATCCGTATTCTACGAATGCAATCAACATTGAATGGTGGGGGGAAAGGGGGAGGTTTTCTAAATTTACGATAATATTACAACATTTTGTCAAGTAATTGGAAGTGTCGCAGATGTTTTGTCCAGGATTGTAGATCAGATTGTTCTATTTTGTATGTTGGGTTTGGAGCATTATGTGTTATCCCCTAAAGCTATGGTTCATTTTTCTTTTGCTCTTCATTAGAGGATGTACCTGTTAAAAAAAATATGTGTGTCATTTCTGAAGCTTGTTTTATTTTGTTCTCTATCACTCATCGATTTTGGAGAATGAACAAGTCACGTTGTTTTGACTTTGAATGGCTTAATTAACCGGAAGCCGGGGAGAATACGCTATTATATCTTATTTCGGTTTGCTCGTGAAATTATAATTTCAATGTGTGCGCTTCGTGCACTGATGAAATTTCCAATTCATAAGTATAAATGTTTAGTTCAAGCCCGGGCCTAAACATACACACAACTTTAGTATAAATTTTGCATATCAAATGAGGTTTCGTGCATTCTAATTGGCTAGTTGACTAGTAAATCTGAGGCACTGTTTACTAGCACACTAGTAAATAATGCTTTTCCAAAAGAATGATTTGGCAAATTTGGTTTCCAAATCGACAAAATACTGAAAAAATCGTCCCAGAAAACGAAAAAAGCACAAAATGTTGCATCTAACTTGAAAGGTAGGATTTCTTTATTATTTTACTGTGTCAAACATATATATTCACGGCCAATTTAAAACTTATTTAAAACTCCGAAACATTCGCTTCAAACAATTAGCAAAAACTATTCCGGCTGTTGGGAAAAGCCGTGATATTCTTTTTAAAACAATTTTGTTTTGTATTCTATAAATTTCCCAATTTGTACAATACTATTTCATTTGATATGTCATGTTTTCATTGTGCTGTAAGGTGTTCTGACTGCTGTATCGTGTTTTCGAAACTCACTGTAAAGTAAAAAGTGTTCTTAAAACTTTATTTCGAACGATATAGTTTTAGATTTCATTTTACCAAATTCCTCAGCCATTTCCTGAAGAAATTAATGCTAAACAGAAACTATTTTTAATTCTAAGACTGGTGAAAGAGTCATTCCGTTATTGTGTTTATATTCCAAGCAGAAATCGGGAAAAGCAATAAAGTCACACAAGAAGCCACTGCAACACTATTAGTGAACAGGCTGAAAACAATTTTATTTCGGAAATTTAATTGAACTGATATTCGGATATTTTGTTTTATTCATTAAAAATTTATACTAAAACAATTATTCACCTCAGGCTCAGTGATTATGGTGAATATTCACCTCGACTTCGTCTCAGTGAATATTCACCGGTAATCACTTCGCCTTCTGTGAATAATTGTTAATTATTTATTAAATAACAAAGTATACCCATTATATGATGCTTGTGATGTTACTCTGAGTGTATATATCAGCCCTTATGAATGCAGGATATGTTGTAGTTAATTTAAACAGCCAAATACTGAAAGAAGTTAGCACATTTAAATATCTCGGTGTGCTCATGGTTACCCTATTGACCTGGAACGAACACCTCTCATATATTTGTAAGAGAGTTTATCCAAAACTCTGTTTATTAAACAGGACATCTTTATTTTTACCAAGATATGTTTTGTTGAATATATTCAAACTGACTATATTGCCAATTCTTGATTATGGGTGCACAGTCTGGCTTGACTGTAGTAAACAGATGTCAGATAAGATTGAAAAGCTTCAAAATCAAGCAATGAGAACAATACTTAGAGTGGACATGCAGAAGAACTTGTTCACAGGATATGCGTAACAAACTGGGTTTATTAACATTGTATAATCGCAGACGCTTTCTATGTTTTCAACTAATTTTTAAGATTGTAAATAATTTTAGATGCCCAGAATCATTAGTATCGTATCTACCTAGTTGTTCAAGTATGCATGGTAAACATTTTAGGGATAATATGTTACTCCAGCTACCTCCAGTTCTCTGCAGCTAGAGATTGGAACAGCCTTCCAAAAAACTCAGAGAAATTAATTCTCTGAACACTTTTAAGTCCGCTATTTTTAAGTATCTGCTAAACTTAGATGTTGTTAACCATCTCTGTAATGTAAAATAGTACTTCTCATATTTTATATATACATAATTTAATAGCTATTTTAGTCATATAAGGTTTAACATATTATATCTAACTGCACTTGTATTAATACCAGCGGTCATTGTATTGTCAGCTGACACAACTTTGCAGTTTAAATAAAGATTTTATTATTATTATTATTAAGTTGATAACAATTAATGTCCAAGACTGAATTTTTCGTTGATAAGTGAAATATTGTCTAGGATTTGACAGAGTAAAAAGTGAAGTAGTAGCTAGGACACTCAGGGGATATTGTGTGTAACTAAAGGGTTTTGAAATATTTCCAAACAATGACTTTTGCCACTATTTACGTTTTAGGTTAGGTAAGCTTGTGTTGATGGAAAATGAGAGTTCTGCTGAAAAGATAGAAACGAATATAAGTAGGTTTTATAAGAACTTTTCACTGAATATGGCAATTACTGAAAGTTTTGTTTAAGCTTGGAGCAAACAGTTGGATGGAAAAGCTTGACATTAAAATTCAAGTATTTTCAAGGTTATTAACTTATTAACCCATTAAGCACCAGCACTCGCCGCTCTACCCTTCACAAGTAAAATCGTCTGGGATTAGGCAGAGTAAAATAAAGTAGTGTTCATCAGGACGCAATGCGAGTCCTCATTGCGTTAATGAATGGTTAATATTAGTTTATATGAACCACCACTTGAAATCTCTTGAATTTCAATTATCAAACTTTTCGATCCAACTGTTTGAAGTCAATAGCTATCAGCAGAATTTCACAGTAATTGTATAAGGTTTTTTTTACAAACCCTGGCTTGCAAGGTTGTTTTTTTTATCCCTCCCCTAACACAATTCCAAAAAATTCAGGATCCCTGGTTACTTTTCCCAGCGGCCCACTCACAACTCCATATTTTAAGATGTATTAAATGGGTTTTAACATCTTTTGAAGGGAGAATCTTGCACTAATGGTTAAACTTGCCAACTGCATTTTGTTTTAAAGGGTGTTTTGCCTGATGAAATGTCAGCAAAAGTAATTTCACAGTGTTTCTGGCATAGAGAGGTAGAAGAACTTGCTTGCCATGGTTTGAGAGAAAAGTGGATATTCTCCTCAATGACCAACATGTGGAATCACAGTTAATAAAATTAGGTAGTTTGGCTAGCCGGACAGCCCCAAAATATGTTATTGTTCTCCTTAATTGAAGTCACATGATGACATAAGGGGGTGAATGACAAACAATCTATAGAGTGTAATATGAGACAGGAGTTACTGCTACATCAAAATCTTCATTGACTATATAATAGCTGGCCTACAAATACTAGCTTGTATAAGCAGTGATGATAAAAACAATGCTTTAATGGTGATCATTAAAGTCATTACAGGGACAAACAATTAAAGGGATATCAAGAAGTTTTGTTTGACTTCTGAGAACACTTCCACAGTTGGAGTGGATCGTACTTTTAATCTTGGAACATGTTTTGTAACTCTGACATTTTTAAAAATAGTTACTGCGACATTCAACTCAGTTATCACCAATAATGCTGGGTCCTTTGTTCCTGCAATCAAGGTATGATGGTCTGGAAACCAAACAGAAGTGTTTCTTATATGTTTTTGTCTGAGTTTATGTTAATCACTGTGACCGTGCACAAATTAACTCAATTCGATCCGCCAATATTAATTTCCGACGTATATGACGGGAAGATTAAATATTAAAGAACTTCACGAGTATTTGCAGTAGACATACGAAAATACCACCAAAAAATTCCGCTTGATCGATACTATATATTCAGAAATATTCATATAATTTTATTGTTTCTCGCTCAATTTCAAGCGAATTTCTTACCTTGAAATGATCAATGCGGTGAAATTTATGCAACTGACACATTATCAATTTTGCTGTTGCATTTTGAATGTTCCGCCTGATTCAAATGCTCGTCTTTTTGCTTCTTTTCCATGTATAATAATAACAAATATACCAAAAGAATCGCCATCTTCCATTCTATAGCTCGGAGCAGTCTCGGGAAATTGCAAAATAATCTAAGCCTATTATGGCAATTCTCGTGATCGGAAAGTGTTCGGCCAACTTCGGACGCCAAATTTTTGGTAAAGCATTACAGTTTCCTGGTAAAAGACTGCAGGAATCACTTCCGGAGTGTTTGTTTACCCTAGATACGGATTTTGATTGGCTTAGGCAGAAAAACAAATCTTTTAGAGCAATTTTCCTGATTATCGCGCACGGGAACGCACATGCGTTGAAATGTATTGTGTTGTAGTTTTGTTTGAATCGCATTCTGAAGACGTTTTTGGCTTTATTTTGCAAACTGATAGTGCTAGTAATGATGGAATGTCTTCGTATGAAGACAAGTATCTCAACCTGGCATTGGGAGTCGCGTCTGGAGTTTCAAGGCAAGTATTTGTATCATTTCTAGACAATTTCTATTTCAATGTTTTGCCGTTGCCATGGCGTTGTAAATTTATTTGTATTTAGTATAGCTTCACTAGTACGACCAAGTATGTCCTCATATCGCTTTTTGTGTTGAAATAATCGTTTCATACTGAAATTGACAAATATAAATGGTATTTATTTATATTGTTGACGAAAATTTATGGTGTTTTAGGCATAAAAATCTCTGATTCTTAGGCGAAGTAAAATGAGCCTTGAGCACATGTTTGGTTGTTTGTTACATACATAATAGCCAAGTATTCATACTTATATCTTACTAGTTGGCTCTTATTATAATTTTAAGTGGCACCATGTCTATAAAAGTTTTTATTCGCACTGATGAACATATTGATCCTGTTCCTATCTGCTGTTCCTGTTTCATAGCCTCAGGGAAGTAGAGTTCTGATGAGTCATGAGAACCCCACTCACCAACCCAGAGGGAAGGTAGGTTCATTCGACTCTTTTTTACTAAGGGAATGCTTCAGGAGGTAGTTTCCTGGCCATACCAATACATATGCCCACATACAAATAACTCAAAAGTTATCTCCATATACTAATAAAAAAGGGTCTTGCAGTCCACCAACCTTGAGAGGTTGATTGCCTTTTAGTATAATATGCAGGTTTGCTAAAGGTCGACAGTGAGATTGAAAATTATTGGAGTGTAAAAACCTTATATATTATATCATGGTCTGTGGGCAATAGACATAATTTCTCGGGTTAGGTACAAAGCGCTTATGGTGTTTGTGAGTATGGTAGATCCTGTACTAAAGACTACAGCAATAAACTGCATCAACAACTGTACCAGCCGTCACAGAATATTGTTGTTGCAGACAAACACACTGTCAAATCAAGAAATAGGTTGGGGTTAGGCAGTTCATGAAAGCTAGATGACCTACTATGTGGGGAATAAATCTGTGGGTTGCTGCAGACAATCCTAATGGTTATAT